TTTTTTTTTTTTTTTTTTCTGGCGTTCGCCTGAGGCACCTCGCATATGCGCTGGACGTAGGCCCCTGCCACTACCTTGAGCGCAGTGTGCAAGGACAAGTCTAGATGCTCTTTCGGTGTGGATAGAGGGGCCCTTCTGCGAAGCAAGAATGCAGGGAAGGAGCCAGCGCTGCTGCTTCCGTTCCCTGGATGAAGGTGTCTGTCGTGGGCCTCGGAGGCAAACTAGCGAGGCTCTTGCAGAGCCTTGGCGCATGATGGGTCATCTTGGATCTTAATCTTTCTTGTTCAAGTCCATTCATGCATCAGCCTTGGAAAAATGAGACTATATATCCGCGCTGACGACTCTTAAATTCAACAATCCCATCTCCCACTCTCCCCTTTCTCACCTGCATCATGTGAGCTATAGTCTAACCTCCTAGTAGCCCCCTTAATAAATATAATACCCCCTAATCCCCTATGTAGCCCCCCTAAGGAGTTTAGACAGTTGAGACTATGTATCATGTGATTTTTCCCGAGGGTTCGGAGCTACACACTAAGCTGCAGAAGGCACTCCAGAAATCCAGCCACACCCATCCATTTGCAGGGCTCTTTAGGTTTGAGCCTCTCAAGGCTTGCAGTTTCGGCGCTCTTCAGCAGAGACCAGTCCGAGACCAGGATATGCAGATGTTTACAAGATGGGGGTTCAGATTATAGGGACCACATAGGGTTATATAGGGGATATGTAGGGGCTATACAGGGGTTACGTAAGGGTTATGCAGGGGTTTGAAGGGCTTAGTGCAACTTGAGCACTTGTTGGGGCCCACTGAGGCGCAAGCGGATATGCCAGCTCCCCGCGATCGAACCAACATCCATCCTCCCGGCAACATAACTAAAAAGTCGCCGGCAAAAGCACCACCAGACTAAATATAGTATAGTGGCAACAAACGTAGTTTCCCAAAATAGGGGACCCCAATGCAGACCACAAAATACCATAATCCTCATTTTAGGGATCCCCAAAAGGGCATCCCCAACTGTACGCGTAACTGTAGGAAACCCTCAAGTAGGATAAGAAGAATCCGATCACCCAATCGGTCCCCTGTGGAATATCTCCAGGCTTGACACTGCAGGGAAGAAAGGCAGGTGTGGTTACCTGAGCCACGGAGACTTAGGGGTTTCAATAAACCAGGTGCCAAAAATAAAGACCCTAATGTATTATATTATCCCCAAGAATACAACCCCCCCCGAAACAAAGATAGCGACTCTTTGGAAACCTCCCTTCGAACACAGCTGCTCAAAAGGTGCAATCGAGGCTGCGGCACATCTTCACAGCCTGGCTCTCACGAACACAGGTTTTGACAATTGCAATCATTAGCAGATACCTTGAGGGTGATGATGATGCGCATGATAATGAAGATGAAGATGAGGATGATGATGATACTGGCGGTTACTACAGCAATGGATAGGGTTATGCGTGGTGAGATGTCCCATGCCTCCTCCACGTCCGACCCCAAGGCGGTCTTGCTGAAGGCATATTGTAATCCTGTGACCTGCGAATGCAACCGCGGGAATCAGGAGTTCCCTACATTATGGGTACTTTTGTGGGGGTCCGCATATACCGTAAAGTGTTAACTACATGCTGGCTGCCCACCTCAAAGCCTCGCAAGTCTTTCAGAACCTGAGATCCAGCAAGCCATCATGCAAAGCTCTCGCGGACTGCGTTGCTGTTAAGGGACTTAATCTAACTTACCATAATGTGGCTATGACGGGGTTTTAGGTTTAAGTTACCGTAACATGGGTATGTAGTAAAAAGTAGGGTTTCCTTATCATGGCAACTTAAATTAAGTTCCTTAACAGCAACCCCGCAAAACGCTTGGCTTGCCCAGTTGCCCGGTAGCGGCCACGCATGAAACGCTTTGCAGCCCGTACTTTCACCTTGCGGAGAGTCAGTCTAGCTCCTCCTCTTGACGGCATCGACTGGGTTGCTGCTGAGAGACTTCAGTTAAGTTACCAGAACATGGGTATATGGTAAATGTTTGGGTTTCCTTCTCATAGTAACTTAATTTAAGTTCCTCAACAGCAAGTAAGTCCATGAGACTCTGCCTCTTTACGCTTCTGGAAGCAGTCGTAGCCTGTACCCTGCCAGCACTCTAGCCTCAGGCATCGGACATGTCGCCCCTTGCTGCCAAGAGGCCCTTGCCAACTTCAAATCAGCCAATCCCTAGGGTCCAGATAGCCCCATGTAGGTAATATCTACAAACTTTAGGGCCCTGTGTAGGTACTATTTGCATACTTGGATCCCTAGGGAATTGCTAGACAGGTAAACTTCGAATGACCAGGGCCCTCACGTTCCGGCCTGGCTTTCCACGATCTGGAATGTTGAGCAGCTGACATTCCCTCGGCAGCTCCTTCAGCTTATCTGGAGCAAACATTGTAGTTGTGGGCTTACCTTACTCATGCCTAGTTGGGAATGGGGGAATGGATTCCCATGTACTAATACCTGTATGAATGAAACCCCTGCTTCCCCATTTCCAACGAGGCAGTCAGTGACTACACCAAGGACGGAGCAGCTCGCAAGTCTCTGACCTGCCATGCTGTTGTGACAGCCCTTGCTTTGGATCCCATATGGTGCCCACAAGCAATTAAAGCCAATGTCTGAAGCACAAAACATATGCGGCTATCTTCAAACAGGGTGGGTTCATAGGTCTACGCACAGAAACTCTATACGAACAGTTTAAAAACCACTGTATATATGTAGATAAATACACATATACATACAATCTCATTGTAGAAGAGACTGGCATACAGGCGCCGCTAACTCCGTACAGCACTCGCACCACACTTGAATCTGCACTCTGCCAGGGCGGCGTCTCACTCGGCATCAGGTGGAGGCCATAACCTGAAGTTGGTTATTTCCCAAAAGTAACGGTACCTTTCACGGGTTTTAGGGGTTATATGGGGGGATATAGGGTTGAGGGCTTAGGGTTTCCCAAAATTAAATAGGGATACCTTATTGAGGGTCCTATAAAATAAGGAGTATGGTATATTCGGGGTATATATTAGGGTTCCCGCTATTGTGGGAAACTACCAAGTAGCCCAACCCTAAACCCTAAACCCTCTGACGGGTCTCGCACTTCACACGCTGAGTCACAAACAGCTGGCCTCCCATCCTGTCGCAGCATCCTATCAGCACCAGCAGGGCGTTTTGCGCTCCAAAACAAGGGAGTAGAGGACCCCTGCATAATCCTGATGTAATCCCTGTATACCATATTTCAGTATTCCCTACTAAAGTGGTAAGAGAAGAAGGGAAATGAGTCCTCCAAGACATCCATGATGGAGCCCTTGCACAAAGCCGGCTTCCCCGTCTGCGCAGGTAGGGAATCGACAGTGAGGCAGCCAAGCAAACTAGGTTGCTGTTAAGGAACCTGCATTAAATCACTATAATAAGGAAGTCCTATTATTTACAACATGCCCATATTCTGGTAGTTTCGATTAAGTTACTTAACAGCAGCCCAGGCAATACGAAGGCGCCGCACCGCAGCGTAATGCGGCCAGCATTGCAGGGGAACCGGGACCTGAGGCAGTCTGCACAGCGGACGGCTTCTACTGGGTTAAGCGCCCGTATTTACTATATACCCATAGTACGGCAACTGAATTTAAGTACCTTAACAGCAATCCAATCCAAGTCTTAGCAGCCATGGGTTTCCTGGGCTACGACCATGCCAGAAGTGAAGGCAGATGCCGACTCCAGGGGCGTTCGTCCAGGGAAGTGCATGCTGGGCGAGGCCGTGCAGGCGGGGCTGGCCTGAAGCAGTATCGAGAAGAGCTTCCCAACGCCCCCCTCAACAAAGAACAGATCTTGGCCTGCAAGCCACTGAGGAACTGTCTCTCCGCCTACAGCAAGAAATTACAAGAAGGAGTCTCGGCCGCTCTGGCCCAGGCACGCTGAGGCCAGGTACCACGCACTTGGCTGGCCCGGCCACGAAACTGGCACAAAGAAGGATAGACTCACTGAAATCATCTATGACTCCCTTTAGAACCTGTTAGAGTATACTATAAATTACTAGGATATCCTATAATATATATTGTGATATTATGCTAGATTATACTAGAATCTACTAAAACTATACCAGAATATACTTGGCCTGCCGAACTGCGTCTTGCGCGGAATTTGCATGTCTGCCCCCAGCCAGCAATCCTTGGGATGCTTGGCTCCAAGGCATCTGATTGAAGACATGTTCATGGGGAGCTCAGGGTTTAGAGTAAAAATGAGAAAGCGGAAATACTAGTAAATCAATGACAAAAAGTCGTAACAATACTAGTAATCACCATACGCAGTAGCAGCAACAAGAATAGTAGTAATAATTGTAGGCTTTGTAAAAATAGCAACGTTCTGCAGTTCCTACGCTGAGCCAGGGGCATGGAATGCAGGTTGGAAACCAAAAGACTTGCAACCGCCGGTCATCTGCGCGCAAGCACATCAAAGACGGCATCCGTTCTCCAGGCTACCTAAACTTTTGTAACTACAGCAGGGCTGCCTGACACTTCTTCTGGCAATCCTCTGCATCTGAAGCGTTCACCTTTGCCAAAAGACTCCTATCTTACTGGTTCTTGGTAGGGAATATTGGAACATCATCCCTATAATTTCGGATTTTGGGTTTGAGGATAGTACATACCCATATTCCTACTAGGATCGGGTCCAGTGCAAGCTGTGTCTAGGCAGCCCGACGGGATTGGGGATGCCCTCGATCGCCGCAGAGATCCTGGGCAGTGGGTGGGGGTAGGCTCCCCCCACGCAGGCCCTGAGAACTTTTAGCTCAGAAAGCAACTTCCACCCGTAGAAGAAGCACCCAAGTGGCACCTGCCAAGCATACACCTCTCCTCAGGTCTCCCCTACTTGGAGGCCCAGGACTTAGTAACTAGTTAAAGGTTAACAGTGGGACTATACCCCTATTTATAATTGGAGGAGCATGCCTAGAGCCCCTTGAAGAAAGTGCGAGACGACCAATCTCGAGAAAATCGCCTTGCCTGCTCTGCAAGGACACCTGGGAAGCTGGCCTTGGTAAGTCAGTAAGGCAACAACACCATCATCAATGATGCCAGATATATAAAACAACACTAATACTAATGGCAACAATATATATTAGCAACAATATTTATTGTTGCTACTAAAAATATACTGGCCCAAGATCACTCCCCTCTTAGGGAGCTGGCCACGCTTAGCACAAGAGCGGCGCACGCCGCGCGCTCCGCGCCGCGCGCGGCCATGGCGGCCAAGCCCGCTGGCGCTTGCTCCCGCTGCGAGCCACAGGCTTCCCCCGGGTATGCCTTCATGTTAAACTAGGATTTTTATGACTATTGTTGTTATATGCATTATTACTACTATTAAGGATTACAAGGGTTTACACCATGATAAACATGTAAAGTTAAGGGAATATATGGAGGATTATAGGGGTATTGCCTTAATATGAGGGAGTACATAGGACATAGAAGCTACTTGAGGGGTTTTATTAAGGATTTCCACCTGAATTATATGGGAGTGAATCGAAAGACCTGCCCGATCGCCCGCGCGGAAAAGCCTCTGATACATACCCTTGAAAGGCGGGGCTCGTTACACACCCCCTGTCGCACGTTGTCAAGCGGCTATAAAAGACTGAGAATACTCATGGTGTTGGAGGGCTTGTCGCGCCAAGCACGCCCCTGTTACGTACCCCTTGTATCGGGGTATGTCGCGTATGCGGGCCCCGGTCTTGTTTGAACCCTTTGGTTTTGACCCACTCCCACATAGGGGTTAGCGTATAATGCGGGATTACAGTAGGGGGTTATAACCCTAACAGTTTTCATTATATTTTCCACTATCCCACCTGATATTTCCCTTATTTAAGGGTTAGGGAGGACTTGTAAAGGATAGGGTCCCGAGGTTGCTCCAGGCACGGGAATGGAATCTGGGTTGGGCAGTGGAGATAAGGGCCAAGTCTCGGGAATCAAAACCCATTTGGGGGTAGTTATAGGGGTAGATAGGGGTATAGAGGAGGTATATAGAGATGGGCCTAGGGTTTGCCAAAATTAGGGGACACCATTTTGGGGTCCCCAGAAGGATTATCGTATTTTTGGGTCCATATTGGAATCCCCCTTCTGAAGGATTTTTAGCATTTAATTGGGTTTCAGGATATTGCTCCAAAAATGAAAGCCCTGCCTGACCCAAAATACCCTAAACCTTGGGCATCACAGTACCAAAGTATACTAAAGTGATGCAGGATTTTGGGTATAAACCGTGGTATTGAGAAAATTGATTGGAGACGTAAGTAAGGGTACGAAGGTGGCCTAAACCGTGGCAGCCATTGCTTGCCTATCCATTTGACTCGCCAACATTGGGGTAAAAGCTCTGAGCCCTGAATAGTCGTTTCCATTTGCTGTTCATTATCCTGTATAATACTGAAAATTCCGCCCAAGTCAAGAAA